GTTAAGTGTGCTACGGGCACAACTCGACGACCTTCTGGAGAAAGGCTGGATTCGGCCTAGCTCATCGCCATACGGTGCTCCCGTTCTCTTCGTCCGGAAGAAGAACAAGGATTTGCGGTTGTGCATCGATGATCGCAAGCTCAACGCGCAAACGATCAGAAACGTCGGCCCTCTTCCACGCATCGACGACCTTCTCGAACGGCTGGGCGGCGCCAAGTTCTTCTCCATGCTTGACCTCAAGTCGGGATATCACCAACTCGAGATTCGGCAAGAGGACCGCTACAAGACCGCGTTTAAAACGCGATATGGGCATTTCGAATGACTGGTTATGCCATTTGGCCTTACGAATGCCCCAACCACTTTCCAAGCGGCTATGACAACGGAGTTTCGACACATGCTGGATCGATTCGTACTTATCTACCTCGACGACATCCTGCTGTACAGCCGGAGTTTGGGCGAGCATGTGGAACACCTGCGCACCGTTTTGGAGCGGCTACGACAAGCCAAGTACAAAGCTAACCGCGACGTCTTGGAACAACACGACGGCAACGACTGGCACCCTATGGAGTATTTCAGCCACAAAGTGCCTCCCATCAATTCGCTTGATGATGCCAGGAAGAAGGAGTTGCTCGCGTTCGTGATGGCTCTCAAGCAATGGCGGCACTTTCTCCTTGGGCGTCGTAGGTTCACATGGGTCACGGACAACAACCTATTGACCTACTACAAGACGCAGGATACGGTGAGCATCACGATCGGACGATGTATGTACTTCATCGACCAATTTGACTTCACACCGAAACATCTCCCCGGCCTCTCTAATCGCGCAGCAGATGCACTCTCGCGAAGACCTGATCTTTGCGCTATGACACATCATGCCTTCGCATTCGACGAGGAACTCCAGCGACACTTCATCCGGGGCTATGAGTCTGATCCGGACTTCGCCACGTTGTATGCGCAGCTATCTTCGGATCACCCGCCGGCCAGCCGGGTGCACCGAAGTGTTGTAGGCGAACTCGATGTCGGGGAGGCGGTCAACCCAATCTTTCTGGTCGGGACAGATGAGCGTACGAACCATCATTTGAGCGGTTTGATGTGCCCGCTTCGTTTGCCCGTTTGTCTGTGGATGCCGAGCCGAACTTGGTTTCATCTTCGTGTCGAACTCCTGCATGAGAGCAGTCCAAAATGTCGACATGAAGCGAGTGTCGCGGTCGCTGACTATGTCTTCCGGTACAACGTGGCCGCAACTCCAACCGGTGTGCAAGAGGCATGCCAGCTCGGGAGCCGTGGAGTAGTACTTGCAAGGGAGAAAACACGCATACTTACTCAAACGGTTCACAACCGTGAGGATGCCGTCGTGCCTGAGGCGATCGCGGGGAAATGGTCCAGTGACATCCATGGCAATGGAGAGGCCGGGTTCCCGTGGGATAGGCATCGGGCGCAACTCGCCGTAGGGATTGCGATTGCGGGGCTTGCTTCGTCGGCAAACTTCGCAAGAGTCGCAATACCGAGTGACATCGGTAATGAGGTCGGGCCATCGGAATCGTTGTCGAAGCCGTGCAATAGTGCGGTTGACTCCGAAATGGCCGGCGAGTCGCGAGTCATGGTACTCCCCGAGAAGGCGAGTCCGAAGACGACGGTCTCGTGGGACACACAGTAAGTCCTTGCCTCTCGAGTGGAGGAGCAAGTACCCGTCACCACGGTGGACGGAAAGGCCGACATCAACGCCGCTTGCTCTCCCGCTTCCATCCGGAAGTACAGGGAATTGCTGGCTCAAGCCCGCACGAATATGCAAAAGGCTCAAGTCTGCATGCAGCAGCAAGCCAAGAGGCGTCGTGTGCCATGTCCCATCCGCGCCGGTGATCTGGTTTGGGTCTCTGCGGAAGAGTTTGCACTGGAACAGGATGTTTCACGCAAACTGCTTCCCAAGTGGTTTGGACCATGGCCCGTAACCTCAGCCGCGGGCGATGAGCCCGATGGCCCTTCATTTGTGATCAACATCCCCCTGCATCTGATGGTCCATCTTGTCTTTCACGCCTCGAAGCTGGCAACATATACACCAGCGAAGAGCGACGACTTTCCGGACCGACGATCGCAGGACCCTCCATCTATGGATGGTCATCAGGAAGTTGACCGCGTCATCACGGATCGCAAGTACGGCAGTAAGCCTCGACAGTACAAAGTTACATTCAAAGCATGCGATCCCGATGACACTCGGTGGATTTCAGGAACAGAACTGAAAGCATCCGCACCGCTGATCTACGCTCACTACGAGCGACAAAGGTTAGCTCAGGGACCTTCACGACCTGCCCCTCCCACCCGGACTGTGGTCCCTCCCTCAGACAGACAGCTTCACCCTCGTAGGTAAGCTCGGTCGTTCAAGGAGGGGGGGGGGTGGCATACTGCGTAGCCACACGGGCTTGCAGGGCCCGCCCCGCATTCTCAGCCTAAAAGCCTAGAAATAAGGGCTTACAGGCCCCATGTCGTTTCAACCTGAAAACTGAAAACGAGGGTCTGCAGGCCCTATTTCGTTTTCAGCCTAAAACAGGGCTTTTTAGCCCTGAGGCTTTTCAGCCTGAAACGGAGGGCCACTTTCGGGCCCTCATAAGATCAACCTACCCTAACACTTAGGCACAAAACCAGGGTTTCGGGAACAGGCTATTTCTCGCCTGTTCCCACGACAGCCTCAAGCAGGAGCTGCAGCGGCAGCCCCTAACTCCCTTCGCCATCGGCAAGAGCAGCCTCCTGGACAGCCTCACCTTGCAGTCAGGAGGCCGGCCGAGAAGTACATAGGGAGTTCCCATGCACTTCACAGGTAGGTAGTTGGACAAAAGGCAGGAGTAGTCTTCAGGATTCGGCCGCAGCACTCAGGAGGAGCGCTGCAGGAGTAGCTTAGCGCTAGCAGTAGTCTTCAGCGTTGGGCGCTAGTAGCCATAGCAATAGTCTTCATCGTTGGGCGCTAGTAGGTGGTAGCAGTAGTGTTGGGGAGAGATGGCTGGCGGAGGCCCGTGAGACTTACCTGTGGCGCCATAGCTCCAGCTCCATCTTCGAGGTACTTGCATCAAGGCGCCAACTTCACAGGTTAGTACCGGACTGAGAGAGAGAGAGAGAGTTCTTTTTCTTCCTCTTCTAAGTCCACCATCTCTTCTTCCCCTCTCACCACCTGACTTCTCAGTATCAGCAGACTACTACAGAGAGAGAGAGTTGTGACTTGAGACTTGACGACAATGGATCCAGACTCGACATTGGGATTCAGACATTTTGCCGAGGGACTATTTGGGCCTGTGTCGAAGACTTGGTGTTGACAACATTCCCATCTTCCCCTCTTCTTCGTCTAACCCCCCTCTTCTTCGTCTGTGTATGGTTGGGGCTGGCGCATTCTTCCTGTGTGAGCGCCAGACCCTTTCACACCATGGAATGATGATGATGATGTATGTTCGGGGCTGCATTGCAATATTGATTGTTCGGATCATTGGTATCTAAGTTTTCCGTTGCGCTATCTTGTACTTTGTTAGAGAGGTCGGTTCTTGCTCTGGTCTGCACCTTTACAGTATGCAACATGCTCACAATGCTCACTCAGACTTTTACTAAAAATCAAAATATCATCTAAATATATAACAACGAATTTATCAAGCCATTCACGAAAAAGTTCATTCATCGTCCGCTGGAAAGTTGTTGGTGCATTAGTAAGACCAAAGGGCAACACAATGAACTCATAGTGCCCATACCTTGTACGAAAGGCAGTTTTATATTGGTCTTCTGGCTCTACCTCAATTTATGGTAGCCAGACTTCAGATCAATTTTTGTGAAGTACCTGCTACCTTGGACTCGATCTAGCAAATCATCGATCATGGGTAATGGCTCAACATTTTTAATAGTTATATCATTTAACCTTCTATAATCAATACACATGCGGACCCCGCCATCTTTCCTTTGACACAAATAGCATTGGCGCACCATAAGGTGAGGAACGAGGTCTAATCCATCCCTTTTCCAACATTTCATCGAGCTGGGTTCACAGTTCCTCCAATTCTTTGGGTGACATTTTGTAAATCGGGCCCTTAGGAATCTGGCTTCCAGGAATAATTTCAATGCGATGTTTAATTGGTAGTTCCACCACACCGCTTGGGGCCTCTGCCACATCTGCGAATTCTTTCAAAATTTTCTCAATTTCTGGGAACTTTGCCTCTTCCTTATCTTCACCTCCCTCAACTGGGCGCACATATGCCACAAATACTTGATCATATAGATTATACTTCTTTACATGGCGGGCGAACGCGGGGGCACTCATGCAACAATGAGCTATGCTGCTTTCCTTACCGGATTCATGAAATAGGCGGATTTTCTTCTTTCCACCTTGCGGACTAGGGAGCCAACACTCATGGTCCCTTGGCTTCATATCCGCATCTGCAGCTTCCCCCCAATCTGTACCTAAGAGAATGTCAAAAGGGAGACTATCTTCCACCAAGAGCGTTAGAGAGTGGAGAACGCGTTCCACCTACCCCTCTGCCTCGAGCCGAAAGTATGTCTGAATCCCCTCAACATATTTATTCATCACAATCTCGCCATTAATCACTAATTTACTTACTACAGGCTCTTCCAACTGTTTTACCTTTAGCCCGAGACGTAATTTCTGCAAACCTTTCTTATTAATATAGTTGCGTGTTGACCCACTGTCAATCATACCGCCTACTCTTACTTTATTAATTTCTAGATCTGCGATAATTAGCTGCCCTTTCCGTTTTTTCATTTCGACCCATGCTTTGTGACGAGTGGCCAACTCATCACCTAGGCCTGCGAGGGATCCACCTAGAAAGGTACATATACTAACTACCTCTGGACAGCTGACTAGGTGGGGATCGTTTATCTCTTTAGTTTCTGCCATGGGAACCTTCGAATGGGGGGATGTCAGTCTGCTTGCATCCAAAGTTCCGGTAGAGGCAACTGAAACCCCAATTGGTTGTTCCCTTTTGGTTGTTTATAATCTGGGCAGAAGGGAACGATGTGGTTGGGGTCAGCACATTTGAGGCACGGATCAACGACTTTTCTCTCTTGCCAAACTTTTTCTGTAATCCCTAGCTTTTCCCAAGGTCTGCCTTTGGGCAAGCTTGAATGGGGTGGATACGGTCGATCCCAATTTCCGTTTCACATGCCTCTTCCTCTTCCCCATGTGGAGTTGGGTCCTCGACCACCTTGCGAGGGACCATTGCCCCTTCCTCCCACGTAGTAGCTTCCTTCGCCACCACCCCTCTTGGTGTCGGGTCCTCTTCCTCCACGACCGCGGCCTCCTCTTCCTCTGCCATGGCCTCTTCCTTGTCGCCTTCCCCCGCGGGCTGCAACGGCCGCGTAGTCCCCCTCCTTAACTACCGATCCGTTGTGTGCATCTCCCTCCAGACCATAGTATATCTGGTCGTAGGAGAGAGTTTCGACACCTCCTTCAAAGGTCAGAAGAAGGTTGTCTTTCCCAGAAATACTTTCTGAGATGGGACGATTTTGCCATTTCTTGCCGGCTTGCAGATCTTTCCAATAATGACAAGAGTTTGCCTCCGCCAAGAAACCGGCATGATCTAACGCGATCCTGCTAAACTTCTCATAAGTCATCCCCTCTTCCTTGGTACGAGGATATAGTTGAGTGCGGAGAGGATCGGGTAGTGCTCTAACAAAGTTGTTAAGAATCTGCGTTGGGGTGAGGCCATGTTCAGCGCATTGCAGAAGTTCGTCCATGGTAGATTTTTTCCATTTCCTATCCGTGATATTCAGGATTAACATTTCTGTTCTTCGGGCTAAGTTTTTATCCTCAAATCGTTCCCGGACTGCTTTAAAGAAATCTTCAATACGGGTTTGTTGGGAATACTCTACCATAGACTGACAATTAGCTTATTTCTGCAGGGAGATTGCAAAACTCATTGCATCTACGGCCATACACGAATTGGCCATGAGAACCCTGTCCCAATACGGTATACGCTGCCCGTACACGTAGGACTCGACCGCAACAATCCAATGTAAAATACTTTCTTCCTTTTTGCCGGTGTATGTCCACGACACTTTTACTTTTATCTTTCTGACTTCCCCTGCATCTTCTTGCAGTACACCCTTCTTCTTCCTATCTCCGTCTCCATCACCACTTCCATCTCCTCCATCTCCTCCATCTCCTCCGCCACTACTTACCAATTTCTCAATCACGACGGGTGTTAAAGTTTTATTGATCTGCTCATCTAATTTTACAATGTATGCTTGTACATGTTGGTCAACTTCTTCTGCAGATCTCTGCAGGAAGGTATTCCAGACTCCTTCGAATTCATACTGATGAGCTTCAACTTTCTGCAAGGTCTTGTTCATCGCTGCCAACTCTTGCTTTGTATGGAGAACAGTTGTTGTCAAGAGGGCAAGTTGTTTTTTGGTTGCTGTTTGTTTTTCTTTTTGCGTCTGTAATTCTCTTTGCAACCTTTCACCCTCTACCAACAGTCTTTTTCTCTCTTCCAACTCTTGTCGCTTTGCAGCTAACATTTTGCCACGCAATGCAGTTCGTTTTTCCTCCAGCAAGAACTCCTTTTCCCTTTTATCTTTAATGGATGCCAATTTTGCGATGAACGTGTCCCATTCTTCCTCCGTCTCTTCAATCCGTTCACTGGAATAGCTATATTGGTCATACCAGTTAAAGGGATTGACCTGTATACTCAACCCACCGGTATGACTGCCCCTTTCAGTTCGATGTCTGATCAGTCTATCAAGCAGGTTCATCTTCTTCTTCTATAGTCTTTGTTCTTCCTGCAATTCTTTTTCTAACTTTTCTTTCAACTCTTTTTTAATTCTTTCTTCTTCTATTTAAGTTTTCTTCCTCAACTCTTCTTCTTTCTGTTTCTTTTTCTCCTCCTTTTCTTTCTTTTTCTCGGCTAGGCGGCGGTCTACTTCTTCCTGCTCTGCCACTGAGAGTCCAGGCTTTGCTGTTCCGGAGCTCATCATCATGCGGGAAGAGCACGCTCTCCCGAAGCCGAGAGGGAAAAAGAAACGGAATAGTGGCCCCAAAAGAACAGATAGAGCCACCATCCCGTACATGGGATAGTCATCCATGGTGGGGTACAGCACAGGGGAGGCCTCCGCTGGACCACCAAGTAGCTACCCAAGAACCTAGTTTACCTGAGTAGTTGGGATCTGTAACTTTTTTTTTTTTTAAGTCTGGATGTCGCTGCTTGAGAATAACGAAATTTAATAATGCAGAAGATATATAATGTTTTCCTAATCAATATGCAAAGTAGGAACTCTTTTTTTTCCCTCTTCCTTTGTTTGCTGCCTGTTTAGTTACTTAGCTGGTCTATGCCTTCAATGGTCTGTCTGGTCGCTTTCGTTAGAGAAGGTAGCTGGGAGATACTCACATGTACTTCAAAAACAAATCCAGTTTATCACGATTTTCTCTGTTCTCAACCGATTACACTCTGACGTGGCAGTACACAGTTCCCTGACTCAACCTTCCTTCCCTACCTATCGACAGACCAGATGCAACCGCAGGTAAGTCTTCTCCTCCTTAGCCCCTTCTTCTTCGGCAAACTTCCCCCTCTATCCCAATCCAACAACTCTTCACCTCACCTCTTACTTCATCTCTCGCCAGCTTTACTCAAGCCAGCTTATCCTTCTGGCCGGCCTTGATCATGCCAGCGCATCCAGTGAGAGTAACAAGTTCTGCTCCGATACCAAATTGCAAGGAACCCGACTGTTCATCACTTGCTGGAGTGCAACAGATCACATGCATATACACTGATTTCACAGATTGCGAAGTCTCACACAAAACCCAATAGAAGATGAGGAAGCTCAACTCAATTATCATGACCAAATGAAGAGAGGAATCTCGTGAGTCCAAAATGTATAGCGCTGAACAGAGTTAAAACAGACATGAATTCCAAGCCTGGCACTCATCAGGGCCAGCTGCCGAATGTCAACAACAGCGCTCAACAGGTAAATGTCACCATAGCTCACACTTCCCCCTCTCTCGTCTGCCTTCTTCTCTCTCTCCCTCTATGTCTATAGTCCTGGTCTACCCTCACTCATGCATGCCTTCTTCTCTCTCTCCCTCTATGTCTATAGTCCTGGTCTACCCTCACTCATCATGCATGCACACTCCCTATCACATGAGGATCTACTTTGAATACTACTCACTGGTGACTCCTACTAACTATCTCTACTAGTATACTAACTAGCGCTGGTGCAGCTATGGCTGCCTTTCCTCCAGCCAGCACCTCACTTCTCTTCCTCTCACATATCGCTGCTCTCAGCCTAGCGCAGCTCACGCATATTTTGTGCTCCTCCAGCCAGCGCCTCACTTCTCTTCCTCTCACATAGCGCTGCTCTCAGCCTAGCACAGCTCACGCATATTTCGTGCACAAGTGCCACGACACTTCCACACTCTCATGCGAAGTGAGCATCTGTCAAATGGGAGGCTGGCCAGTCCTTTATAGTGCTGGACTGATCTGGCGTGCCCTGCATCCAGCCTCAAGTGTCTGGGACTCCTGCCCAGTGTTGCAAAGTGTGTGTCCCAGTATCTTTTCCCATGGTCTGCTGCTGCTTTGGGCCATCGGGCCTGTCTTTTGGACTCCTGGTCTGAATCAGGACTGACTCGTGGGATTATGACTGGACTGGGACTATGGCCTTTGACTCGTTGCCGAACAGACGTGACTTTCCATCGAGGAGACATGACCCTTTCTCAGTCTTAAAGACTGACCTGTTCGTTCAGGACCTGTTTGTGTCTGTTCAAAATGACCTTTCATTGCATTATGGATGTGACACTTGCCTCAGGAACTTTGTCTTTTAGGTTTTGCTGCTCGTGAATTTAAGTTCTGGCCGACAGGGCCCCTCGCTGTTGGGGTACTCGTCTGGGGTCTAATTCGTAAAGGCCCTTGTACCCCACACACACACACACAGTTTGTGCAGCACCTGCCACACAGCGCTCTTCTGTGCACGAATAATGTGCATGAACCACAGACTTATCCAATGCACAGCACCAAAAAAAGGCCTCATGTGGCCTGTTGTTTGGCTCCGTGCTCGTCCCTTTTGGCCACTCCGCAAGGATGACACACACACTGAGAAACTGGCCTTGTCAAAAATGGCAGTTGGGTCCAGAGAATTTCTAGCGTCTCGCATGGGGCAGTGTTATGGAAGACCTTCCGTTCCCTTTAACGATGTTGGAGTAAGGAATGACTTTTGTAAGTTTAATTTAACAACACTTCTTCTCAGGAAATTTCAACAAAATGAGGGCCTCAGACACATGGCACAGCCAAAACATCACCTGATCCACTATGACAGCTGCTCTTTCAACATTCGAGCCTCGCACTAGTGTCTCTTCTCGTTCTTTCATGATACTGATAGACTTTAGAAATCGCCCACCTGACGTGAGTGATCTTTGCACCATTGGGTTGGCATCTTCTTCATAGCTGTCGTATCCATTCATACTTGATCTGTCCAGGAGTGGCCAGGTGTATGTTCTCTCCAGCATTGCCATGATGACGACAGACCTGAGGAAGGACTGAGAAGTGCTTTCAGTGAGCAATGCTAGACATGAAGATGACAGGTCCAAAAGCAGTCACAGGGAACTCAGCCAGGAGAAGAGGGAGCAAGGGAAAATGGATGGCCAAGGAGCGAGAGGCAAGGAAAACAGAAAACCTGACAGATCAAGAAGGATGAGCCTGGTGGCATGGACGTGCAAGTTGCAAAGATTGTGACCCAACCTGGGACGATATCAACAGAAGAGAGACACTATCTACAACATTGGCAGCCAGAGAGTGGCATAGATCAAAAGAAACATGTAGGAATTCGGTACAAGCTCAAGACTGAAGGTGAAAGGTGTGCCGAGGGACAGACGAGTCGGTCTCCAGATAAGTTGCAGCTGCAGGCTGGTACAGGCAGACAAACACCATAGAAGCCATAGAGAAGCTGGGCCCACGAGATAGCTGCACAAACCAACAGAGAGAGGACTTCGGTAAGTAGACAGAACAATGCATGAGTGACAGCTTTGCACTCCTGCCATCTGAGTACACATACGGAACAAAAAAATCACCTGCAGCACAATGGACATCTTGTGCGTCGAAAGATAAACTTTGATAACCGCATAAAGCAGGCGTTCAGAAACGCTAGGAGGAATTGGAGGAATTTTTGGAGTGTTACGATCCTGGTCATTTCCGAAGTACAAATTCACAAGGAAAGACGGTGCCACCCAATTGCGAAAGAAATGAAAGCACTTGCAAAGAGATAGAGACGAAGAGAGAAAGAAGAAGAAGAAGAAGAAGAAGAAGAAGAAGAAGAAGAAGATGTACACCAGCAAAACCAATGACAAATCCCCCTTCTCTCTCCACCTTCCTCCTCCTCCTTGTCTTCGCCAATCTTATTCTTCTTCCAAATAATAACAATAACAATAAGTGGTTGAACCAGAATCAATATCCGAAGTTTCCTCTTACTGCCAACACAACAATAAGTCCACCATAGCCATGGCTTCCCCCTTCACCTTCCTCTCACATGCCAAGGCTATGGCGGACTACTGAGGGCTCTGCCCTCCTGTGCAAAGACAACTCAAAGCAGCTATGGTCGCTGCTCTTCAGGCCGCCATGCCTGACTCTGCCTCGAAGCTTCCTTGGAGTGGCACTACCCCAACTGGGGCCTTCCAGATCCAGCGCCTAGCAAGGTGATGAAGATGGTGTCCACCATAGCCAGGTAGGTACCTCGCCACTCTCCTCCTTCGCCCCCTTCTTCCTCCTCCTCAAGCTGGGCTGCTCGCCATAGCCAGGCTGAGCTCCCACCTCCTCGTCGTCCTCCCAGGCAGCACTTCAAGTCCAGGCTCCCTGCTCAAGCAGTATGTCGCCCAACCTTGCACACCACAAATGACGAGGAGCTACTCGCTCCTCCAGAAGATATAGTGGCCTACTTGCCTCTTGGGCGGTGACTTCCAGGCCGCGCGGCCTCCAAGCAACCGGTACCTCCTCCCTTTCAGAAGGAAACATCATTGCAGGCTCTGATATCGTTTGTACAGGCCCTAGGGACTAGACTCAGGCTACTTGGACTGGTACCGGCCTAAGTCTAGCCTGCTGGTACTGGGTCTCTAAAAATGCGAACTTTTTGAATTCTTCTCCTCGGCCTCGAGTACCCGACACATCTACCGCTACTTGAGTGGTACCAGCCTACCTGCTACTTGAGTGTTTTTCCCACTGCTCTAAGTGGCGTGGGTGCAATGACTTGCTGTTTTCTGGTCGCATGTAGCCTCACTCTGTCGAGGCTGTACTATAGGT